CCCCACTTGAAGCTACTACCTGAAATGAAGGCCCTTCTCATCGCTTTTGGGTTCTGACACTGCATGCTGGCTACCTTGCTTCCTGTATGGCCATGGACACACTTCTTATGTGGCTTGGGCCCCAGAATAGCACAGTGTACCTCCCACACAGATAGGCATCTGTCTCCCTTTTCCCCCTTGGGCTTTGACATACTTCTCTGTACCTCTGGCTTCTCCTGCCACCACCATTGAAGACCCCTGCTTTCCTCTGTCCTACTCAATAGCATTAGAATTACATTTCAAAGGAGGGAAAGACAGGGAAAACCCAGTATCTTTTGAATGTCTATAGGATTTGAAATGATGTCTTAATACTATTCCTGACGTTAGTAACTTATTTCATCTTTTTCTTTCTGACTACATTCTTCAACCAGTTCATCAATTTTAGTTGTTTTTTTTTTTCAATTAATTGTATGTTAGTGTGCTGATACTTTCTAATTTATGCATATTTTTAATTTATTTTTCTGCTCTTCATTATTTGTAGACCCTACTTGGGTTTTAATTTGATGATTTTTTTTTAAAAAAATGTCCTCAATTATTATGTGTAGGTCATCATTGTTTATCGAATTCCCCCCTCAATATATTCACTTGAAATTTTCTCCTAAGCATGGCTTTAGCCACATCCCACATGTATTTATGAGGATTATTTTAAACTTTCTCTTCATTATATAAGTTAATTTTAATTATTATTCCTTTTGATTCATGAGTTATTTAAAGTATTTTTAATTTCTAATTATTTTTGTCTAGTTTTTTATAGTTTTTTTTTAACTAATATTTTTGTTTCTGGTTTCTAGTTTAATTCCACAACAGTCAGATAACAACCTCTTTGTGCTTCTAATTTTGTAAAATGTGTTGATCCTTAATTTATTACCCAGCTTGTAATAAATTTTGGCAAATTTTCACAGGTACTTGAAAAGGGAATTCTGCAGTTGTGAATAATCACCATTTTTTAGAACTGTGGTTCTCTCCACTATCTTAAAACATAAGGTTAAGAGCTATTGGTCATATTCTGCATATGCATGCATACTGTTTTTTCTAGGTTAAGAAAATATTTCAACTTATTCTGCTATGCAGTTTGCAGAGGATAAATTAAAATTCTTTGACATATCCAGATTGAACCCTTTTATGGACTTATCATTTCCATTAAATAAGGATATAAAATTAGGTAGTAAAGCAAAACCTAAAGTAATGAGAGAACATCATAATTTTGGTGTTTGATAGTCCCAGTAGAAAGATCTTCTTAAGGTTTATGTTTACTGTGTAATTTAATAATATGTTACTGTATAAACAACTGTTGGAAACTTTCTCTAGCGTCAATTAAATTTAAGCCACATCTTAGTTATCACACTATGTAGAAATAGTTGTCATTTAGAATATGAAGAGATAATTGCAAAACTTAAAAAGGAAAATTCTTATGACTATATATTTCAGTGAAATTCGAATTCCATATACATTAGCATGTTCTTTGCTTTGGAAAGTAAAATATAAAGCAAAGATAAAAGAAGAAAAGTGATACATTATTATTTTCGATGAAAATGTGGTGTGGCCAAAATAAACTTTTTAAATTTTTTTTTAATTATAGTTGGACACAATATCTTTATTTTATTTATTTATTTTTATGTGGTGCTGAGGGTCAAACCCAGGGCCTCGCACGTGCTAGGCAAGCGCTCTACGCTGAGCCACAACCCCAGCCCCCAAAATAAACTTTTTATTCTGGTTACAACTTTAACATAATATTGTTTTCTCCAAATTTAAAAGATAGTAGTGATGTCTACTCACTGATCCTAGTTAGCATATTCACATATCACAAACTTATTTTGTGTAATTTGTGCCTTGATCTCTGAATCAAGAGTTATACTAAATCTAAACAAGAGCCAGATGACAGGAACTTAGTTGTGAAAATATGCTCTAGTTGATTGGCAACTTAGCAGGAATCTAATAAAAAGTAATAGAAAGAAGAAATACCATTATTACCACAAAGAAATTATACCATGCTGGTAAGAGCAAAAGGAAAGGGAATAATTATTATAGAATAGTTGTTGGGGGTAGGAAAGCCACAGAGAGAAAAAGTATTTTGATTAAGATTAAAAACTGAGATCATATGATCAAATTGAGGGATGAGGAAGACAAGGACTGGATCATATTTGTTTTCTAGCCAATATCCTCTCTGTCTTCTTCCTTCCTTGACCTCCCATTGTTCTGTTATCTACTCTTTTACATATATATGATTAGGTACCTTAATCCATCCCTACCTTTAAATTTTTGATGGCATCTGATTAATTTAAACCAATTATAGTAATCCTGTTTCTCCTACCAGTGATGGGTTTAGGAATAGGCATGTGATCCACTTCTGTCCAGGGTGATCTATGAGGCAATATGCTGAGACTTCTGGGAAAGATCATCTCTCTTCTCAGAACAAAGGTAAAGGACACAGATATTATTACCCTATATACATGGATGATTACACTCCTGGAGTGACTCTGCACCATGTACAGCCAGAGAAATGAGAAATTGTGCTTCATTTGTGTACACTATGTCAAAATATATTCTATTGTAAAATTAAAATTTAAAAAAAAATGGTACACTGACTCCTAGAACCACTACATTGTGGAATTTTAATTAACATCTGTTACAGTAAGTATTTAGATATGGCCATTTAATTTAATTTATGGCTGATTAAGCATTTTTAAAGGAGAGGAGGATATTGGTTTAATGATTTATAAGTTCTATCACTTGATATTGTATTTAGAAACAATAGAAACTCCAACTCTCAAGTTGCTTGTTTTGTTTTGTTTTTTAACAAATAGGGATTTATTTGTCTCACCCATAAAAGTTTAGAGCTATTCATGATGTTTCAGATACTTCAACTATTTTTTTTTTTTTTTTTTTTTTGCTTTTCCATCCTTACTTTCATTCTCATGCTAGTTACTTCATGGGCACAAGGCAATTACTGCATCCTCAGGCAGGTGAAAAGGTAGGGGAAAAGGGGGTACCCATAGAGTTTGACTTCTTTTATCAGGAAAACAAAAGCTTTCCTGGAATTCTGATTCGGAAATCTTCTGCTTAGATCTCCAGCCTAGTTGGATTGCTGCTCAGGAGAGGTCAACTGTGTGATAGGGTTCAGTCAGCCCACCATGCACATGTTCACACCATACCTACTGCATGTGAATGGATGGATTAATCCACATAAATTGTTGATAGCCACTTGTCTCTAATATTCTGGAATTGGTTTTTTTGGCTGCTGATTTTAATGTGTTTAATATATCTTCTTGAATTTAGCTTCAACTATATTAACTTAGCCATCCTTTTTTAAAGTTAGCAGCACAATTCACAATAGCTAGACTGTGGAACCAACCCAGATGCCCTTCAATAGATGAATGGATAAAAAAAAATGTGGCATTTATACACAATGGAGTATTATGCCGCACTAAAAAATGACAAAATCATGGAATTTGCAGGGAAATGGATGGCATTAGAACAGATTATGCTAAGTGAAGCTAGCCAATCCCTAAAAAACAAATGCCAAATGTCTTCTTTGATATAATGAGAGCAACTAAGAACAGAGCAGGGAGGAAGAGCAGGAGGAAAATATTAACATTAAACAGAGACATGAGGTAGGAGGGAAAGGGAGAGAAAAGGGAAATTGCATGGAAATGGAAGGAGACCCTCATTGTTATACAAAATTACATATAAGAGGTTGTGAGGGGAATGGAAAAAAAAAAACAAGGAGAGAAATGAATTACAGTAGATGGGGTAGAGAGAGAAGATGGGAGGGGAGGGGACATTTAGTTTTCTTTTTCAAATTTAGGACTTTTGAACAAATATATAAGTTTTTGCTAAATTAATACAAACTAATATTTTTCATTTGAGCCAGGCATTATGGTAATTTTTAAATGAGGTTTTTAGTTTTTATGTAAAGTTGATCTTAGGAAAAACACAGGAACTGTATTGAATATTGAAGTTGAACTCCATAACATTCTTTTGTAAGGGTCCCATTTGTAGAAGGAGATGCATAATCCATTAAATAAAAATGAGCATCCCCAGCACTGAAAAAGAAGAAAAAAAAAGAAAGTGTTTAAATTCAACATTAAGTATTGCATTCAGGTTTATCTGTACAGACTCAGTAGTTTTTAAATTGTGTACTGGACTCTGTCCTTATCCCTTTCCCTCTTCCACCTCCAGCCTTCTTCACAGATAGGTTTATTCTTAATCATTGAAGTAAAAATTTAAATAATCTTTTAAGAGTGAAAAACACTGGTTCAAATTATTACTAGAATTGGAGATAACTCATGTAGACCAGGAGGAACCACGCTTTAGGAGGGCTATAGACTCAAGGAATGGGGACATGTAATGGAGTAAAGACAGCAGAACTGTAAATTTTTGCTGTGTGGTGGAGATTAACAAACAGAGTTTGGATCTGATTCATAGGGCACATCATTTTAGGATTCTAGATCCAGAATAGATGTGAAAACACAGTCCTGACCCTGCTGAATCAAAAGCAGGTTTAAGTTCTTCTCAATAACTAAAAAAATAAAAATAAAAAACTAAAAAAAAAAATGAAGGTTTTATGTTTGTTTAGCCTACCATGTTTTTATTGCTTTGGCTAAGAGGCCACAAATCACAGGGAAAAGACAAAGTATGTATGCTGCTGGGTTGTTTTGAGAGAGTGAACCAAATTAAAAAACCTATTTAACAAAAACTTATTTTTATGGTGTATAACAATAGGGCCTCTCTAAGTTTATGATTTATTTTTTCTGATCTTTGCAGGAAGAGAGGGGTGGAAACAAGATTATTTTGTTTCTGCACCTCAACTAGGGAAGAAGGACACTGATTTAGTAAATCTAATAGTTACATTTCTGCAAAATTTTTAATCCTGTGTTTTTAAGCTATTTACAATTACTGTAGACCGTACTGCATTTTGAGGCTAATTGGAAACAGTGACCAGATTCTTTATTCATTATCAGGAAACTGCATTCAGAGAATGAGAAGAACACCGCCGCTGGATGAATTGCAACCACCACCATATCAGGATGACAGTGGTTCTCCCCATCTCTCATGTACACCTTCAGAAATTGGGGATGGTAAATGTGAATTTTCCCACTGCAGCAACAGTCCACGATGCTCATATAACAAGTGCTCAAGTGAAGGAAGCACAGGTCATGAAATAGAAAGTTTTCATAATAAAGGATATGAAGAAGATGTTCCAAGTGACAGCACCGCAGTCCTGAGCCCTGAAGTAAGTGAAGCACATACAAGTTTAAAAGTGGATGTTATTTGGAAGATAATAATCTTGTGCTTTTCTTTTTGGTAAGGAGAATGGGATTCATCACAGTCTTATCCCTTTGTAGTTTATGGTACCAGTTTCCATTCTTAAGCTAGTCTTTACCAACAAACTGACCAAGGCTGTCTCAACTTGTCTTCAGCTCCCTCTGCAACCAAAGGAAGATGGATAGTTCAAGATAGGGAGTGGTGGTGGTTGTTAAACACTTTATATAAAATATTCTGGAATTATTTACCTTTTTATTTCATCTCAAGGTTACAGTTTATGTTTATTAGGATTTTTTATTATTATTTATTAATGTTTTATAAGTCTTTTGAAATCACTTTATTGTAGTTTCATTTATAGAATATGAAAGGGATAATGGATAATGATGGTCAGCTTTACTAATGCAATTTGAATTCAAAGTATCATGTATCCAGAGTGGTTAGTTGGTTAAATTTAAGTCACTTTTTTTGTAACAAAAATGTGAAAATAACAGAAAAAGTAATTTTTGCTATTTCAAAGTATTGCCATTGGATTTGTTAAAAACTAGAACAGTAAGGTGTTTTCATAAGGTAGTATTTATTTTTAGGATTTACTTTTTTTGATAGTTTTAGAGTGTAAACTTACAACTTTTGTTCCTGACAGCATTCCTGAAAGCATACGGTATGTTTGTGTCCCTACTAGGTAAATTTTCTGCTTTGTTGTCAAAATTAAATAAGGAAGGTAGTTTCCCAACACAGAATAATTAAGTTGTAGATAGAATTTCTTTAATTTGGGAGTATTTTTTTATAATTTTAAGAAGCACTTTGCTAATATTTTTTTAATATTTCTGATGTTATAATATATCTGACCTAGAAGAAAATTCTATATTGATATTTTAAATTTAATGTATTAGTGTTTTATAATTTTCCACAAGGAATGTTTGTGTTCTATCACATAAACAAAGTTAAGATTGCTGCTTTGTGACTTTTCAAACTGTATACACAGCAAGCTAACAGTGAAGCCTAGATTCTAAAATTAATAATACTAACAACTATCACAGGTGTCCTGGGAATTTTGCTGTGAACTTTACATAGTCAGCTTATTTAGCTCTACCAAGCATATCCTCAGAAGTTATATTTCTGTTTCACCAATGAAACAGTAAGACTGAGAGAGTTAAGCAATTTGCCCAAGTACATGCAGCTCTTAACTAGTGGAACTATAATTCAAACCCACGTGTGTCTGACCACAAAAATGATGCTCTTAACAACTGTTATTATATTGCCATTCTTAATCTAAATTGTTGTGTGTGAAATTACTTGAATGTAGTGGTATCCTCTAACATACCACGAGGCAAGTTATCACAGGGGACTCAGACCAAATTAAGATGCTTAAGTTACATGTGTATGCACACTTGTGTATGCATGTGTTTAAATCTATTTCAGATACAAAGCAAGAAGTAAGAGGATTATGGTAAGGTACGTTGACACACTTACCTATGTCATCATAGGATATCAGTAGGTATAGGTAGCAAAGCCACATCATGGTTTATACAGTACCCATATATCCTGTTCCACTGTCTTTGTTCCATCAACATTCCTATTTATCGTATGGTAACAAAGACCAGAGTAGAGATTTAAATAAGGGTATCAAGACCCAGCAGTACACACTTGCTTTAGAAGCAAGTATACCTGGCCACCACTGGACCTTGCCAGTGAGCCTACTACACGGATACAGATTTTTATCTGCATTTCCTAAGTAGAAACATGGGAGACAAAGCTCTTATCTCAGAGACAACATGTTCATGACTTGGGTTTTCCATCATTTTCTATAGGTAATAGTCATTTGTTTCATCATATTTTCTATTTAATTCATCTATCTTTGGTATGTTATTAATTACTACAGTTACTAATTACTCTTTTGGTATATTATTAACTACAGTTATTAGTTACAGTTTTAATATATCATGAATTCTGTCTTGTCTCACAGGTTGCTTTCCTTACACATTATCTATAGTTAACGCCTGTATTTTTACCCATATTTTAGAAGCTGCTGACTTGCTATCTTTGTTAACACTTACTTTTGAGTTTCCTCTACTTGGTTTTATGTCTTTTATAGTATCACAGAATATAATCAAACAATTTAGCAAAACTACATTGCATAAGTACTTTGATATAGAACATTAATAACCTATGCAAGTATAGGATATAATGTTAATATAAAAATCTTATTTTTCAAATTTATTGTAACCCTATAATTGATAATATGTGTCAATTAGAAAAGTCTTTCCTCGTGGTTTAATCCAGGCTGCAGGTGTCTTAGATACATGATTGAACTAAAAGAGGGGAAGAGGGCACAGAAGAAATCTGTGGAAAGTAGTTTATAAACTCTATTGAGTTTATGCAACTCTGTTTCTAGCTAAGTTTTTCTAAAACTTTGATCCAGGCACCTTGAAAGGGAATGATTGTTTGCTAGTTTCCTGTTTGAAGAGTGCAAATAGTAGTTTTTATCTGTTAAGGTCATACCCTTTAAATTGTGGGTTTCACATTCTTTTTTTAAATGTTTAAAATTTGTTCTAATTAGTTATAGGGTTTCACATTCTGAACATTGGAATGCTCAGGGAAAACATAGAAAAAAAATGTTCTTTTGAGTAAATGAAAGAAGGAAGACTGTGGGGCATTAGTATTCATTGTAAGCACTGAACACGTGCTTAGAAAATTTAAGAAAATTATAAAATTGGTCCAATGAAAATTATTTAAGATTTATTAAAATCCCCACAGGGACAAAGTGACATAGTTAAGGTAAAAAACCTGGCTTTGACATTGTTGGTAACTATATGAAACTCTCAAATGTATTCCAGACAATTAGACTGGCAGGAATTTGAGACAACTAATGGTTATAATTTCTTTTAATGTCATAATTAGTATGTATAGTTTCCAGTATTCAACTTTTAAAATGTGTATTCTTCAACAATAGGTAATATTGGAAAATAATATACTGTTTTTAATTTTAGTTAACAATTGAAGTAATATGGTCTGAAATTTGGAGGATACTTAGCTGCAAAAATATTTGAGGCCTTTTTATACTTCCATATTTCACATTTCCTTTGGTTTTTAAATCAAAGTAGGTTTATGTTCTTTCATAGATGGGGAATTGTATAACAAGTTCTAAAAATGGAAACATTTTTCAATAGCATTATACTTTATTTATGTGCACTTACTCTGCAGTTTAATATTGAGTTGCTGGTTGTGTTCTTTATAGTGTGAAGGTTAAAATTTAGTAGTATCTCACTAAAGGAACAGAAATAACAATAAAATATATTTAAAATTTTTAATTGTAAAACATATGTCCAACTTTCTCAAAATGGTAATGATGTGCAGTACATTCTAAATGTGTCTTTATTTAATAAGTGTTTTAGTTTAACTTACCATTTCTAACATTCTGGCACTGTATGGTAGATTTTGATTGTAGCTGGCTGCTAATTATACTTTTTCTTTGAGGGCAAATTAAAATTGTTTTCCCATCATCCTCATAAAGAAATATCAGGCATTTATGTGCTAGATTAAATAATAGAGTTAAAAATTGAAAACATTTTAATTTGCTTTTCCTAGGATATGTCAGCTCAAGGATCGTCTTCACAGCTTCCTAAACCTTTTGATCCTGAGCCAGAAGCTAAATATGGCACACTGGATGTGACTTTTGACTATGACTCACAAGAACAGAAGCTTTTGGTAACAGTGACAGCTGTCACAGACATCCCAACATATAACAGGACAGGTGGCAACTCATGGCAAGTACACCTTGTTCTTCTACCTATAAAGAAACAGAGAGCAAAAACCAGCATCCAGAGAGGACCATGCCCTGTCTTCACAGAAACATTCAAATTTAATCATGTTGAATCTGAGATGATTGGAAATTATGCAGTTCGGTTTAGACTTTATGGTGTACATCGCATGAAAAAAGAAAAGATTGTGGGGGAAAAGATTTTTTATTTAACAAAATTGAATCTTCAAGGGAAAATGTCATTACCTGTGATACTGGAACCTTCTTACAATCATTCTGTAAGTATCTCATCATATGACCTCAATACAATGTATGTTTATGGAATATAATATATATAATTTTTAAAAATCTATAATCAAGCAATAAGTTTGTCACCATATTGTTTGTATAGTAATCATATATTTATACAAATTTCTAGGCCTTGGATAGGTAGGTATAATTTTTTTTCTTTTCTATTAAATTTCCTTTTGAAGATGATGAGGTATAGGTTCTTTCTTGAAGTTCTGAAGAATGAGACCCATGGACAATTCAGGGTGAGAGTAAAGTAACAGAATTTATTTTTGAAACAGAAAAGAAGTGAAGCTCCCAGAGAGAGGGGTTCCAATTGGTATGCCCCAGAGTTGCTGCCGTCTAGGGGTTTATATGGTATTGCTAGAGGTGACCTTTAAAGCTATTGCTATGGAATTGTTGCAATCAGGGCTCTGCTCTGCCTATAATATTTCTGCTCCTGCTCTCAGTGATATATGATTTATGTATTTTATTCTATCCCCTTTCTAGCCAATGGTCTTAGATTTGTTCCTTTATTGAAAATGTGTTAAATGATTATAATGTAATCTAAACTATTTATAGAATTAAATTTTTTTCCAGGTTAAAACTAGGTGATCAATTAAAATCTGTTTATCCTTCTGTCTTGTTTGCTATATTGCAGAAATTTTCTGCTCATGAGTTATTATCTTTCCAGAACTGCCATGAAATTATTTTAAAAGTTCAAAAACTATGACCTCATTGTACTTTCAATATTTTGAAGCATTTCTGGGTGAATACTTTTAACCTAAAGACTTTCAACCAGCTTTCACTTTTTTTTTTCCAGATTATTCACTTTCAAATCTCTATCCATATTTTTAACTAAATTCCCATAAAGCATTGCATGTCACAGGAGAGAAGTGTCTGCACTATTTGTTTAAACCAAGGAGACACATTATGCCACATAGTTATTTAGATTATGAGAAAATCTGTTATATGTGCTATAAGTGTAAATTGTGATTTATATTTATACCTGTTATATTTAACAAAAAGCATTTTTGCAGTATCTATTTCAGGATGGATTTAAATTTTAAAATAAGGTATTATATTTTAGCATTGTTTTAAGACTTTTAAACGTGTAAGCATAAGTTCAAGGTTAAGGTTTCATTGCATTTATATCAGGTAGTATTTGATTCTGTGGGACTTTCATTCATAGTCAGACTATACAATTTAACTAGATATTTCAGCATCTGTAAAAATAAAAAGATGGTGGTAAATGTGTGTGTGTGTGTGTGTGTGTGTGTACATATATACCCCATGTGTGTTTACAAGGTAAGAAGCTTTATTGATAGAATTAATAGCTTATTATCACATCAAATTTTAAGAATTACTTTTTTTGGGAGAATGTCTTTTTAAATGACACTAGCAGTTTATAACAAGAGAAATAAAAAGAAAATTCAGATAATATATTTTTGAGGAAAGTATAAATTTTCATAGAATCGAATATTCCGTAGTTATTAATGTGATTTTTAAATTTTTATTATTTGGTCTGAGTGATAACTATTTTTTCTGTGGAAAACATAATATTTTATACAAATAACTGCCGCTGATTTAAATTAGAAGAGAAAGACTATCATCAAGAGGTATGTATTTTATATCGCTTTATTTATTTTAAATTATCTCTCTTCTGATTCTATATTCATTATCCAAATGAATTATATTCATTATCCAAAGAAAATGAAGCTCTAAACATATGGTTTTATCTCTGGTCAAATTTCTGTATACACCTATGTTGCTTGTGTTAGGTTATAGTCATTGATTCTATAATCTTTTTTTTTTGCCAACTAATATTGTAAATTTCTTTAGAATATTTACAAGAAGAATTAAAAAAAAGTTCTAGATAAGTAGCTTCTAAGATTTAATGTTCAAATCTAAACAAAGCCATCTTCTGCTCTTAGAAAATGTTTCTTCTGCACTGACATGCTTCTCAAATTTAATACCTATAATTTTTCTTTTCTCTTGCTTTCTTCTTTCTTCACTTTCTTAAAATCTTGTTTGTTTTACAGCTACTGAAACACCAAGGTTGTGAGGTTAACACTCATAAGTGTCAGTTGTCTTGTCATAAATATTAATAGAATGTATGTATTTTCTGTATGTAATGTTCTCTTTGCTTAAATTTTAATATTACATAGAGGAATCTTGTCATAGTTTACCTGGGTGAGTTTGGCTCTAATTTTGTTCGATGTAAAAATGTGTGTATAAGGGTTATATTCATAATTAAATATTTATTCTAGTGGCTTTTGAATAATTACTTATTATTGCTTTTGTTACAAGAGCATTTGTCTTTTGGCAAGGGAAAGTTTTAACCCAGCCAAAGAATTCACAAATCACACTTAAAATATTTTTTAAATTTCTTGGTTTTTTTCATGGATAATGATAGAATAGAGTTCTGCATATAGTTTATCTTCACAGCTAGTTTTTGAAGAACTGATTGAATCAACACATTGAGAGAAATAGACAAATGCCACAAAAATGACTTTCTGAGAACTAAACAATGAATTTCCTTCAGGATAAGATTAAAATTTAACATTGAGATATAGTTTAAGGTGTTCCTCTTTGATGATAAAAAATACATCAGAGAGATATAAAGCATAAGTTCTTACTACTAAATAACTGTCTAAGTTTGGTAAATTACCTAATCATTTTGGGTATCAGGTTTCTCAATAGTAAAATGAGAGGGTTAGAACAAATGATATCTGAGGTTCTACTCATCTCTGATGTTCTCTGGTTCTACTAATATATATCGTGAAAGGATTTAGGCAAGAACAGAATTGAATTTTAAGTCCATTTTATATGCTTGATACATCACATTTTGTGGTGAGCATGTATTATTTCCTCCCTCTTTCATACCTTTTCAACAACTTTCTAATGATAGGGAAGTTCCAACTAAAGCTTTCCATCTTCCTAAGAGCAGCTAGAAAATTCACTTTCCTAATCTTGCTCATAGGGAGAGCATGAGCTTTATGACTAGACTGTACTACTTGTGTTCATTTCTGGGAAACTTCAATATAAACTGAACAGAGAAGATACTGTGCTCATATTATGTCTCCATGAAGCTGATGGCAGAGGCATTGGAGGTGAGAGACCACAGTAACTCTAAAATAGCTTTGTTGGTGCAGAAGCAATGTTAGTGCTGGGCCAGTTACAACTGTAGTAAAGAAAAGTCCTTAACACATGAGAGTCCTATAGGAACAGCAACAAAGTTCCTGTAAGACACTGGTCCTGCCATATGAGTTTAGACTTTTTATTCTTGAGAGTCTTAGCTGTTAACCTGATTTCCTGTGTGTCCCCATTCTTTTAATAAATTGCCATTCCACTTTATGAGTCGGAGTTAACTTCCAGTGTTTTCAAATAAGAACTCTGAAATAGCCATATGGTTTAATATTTACTTGCTTCTGTCATTTCTTACTCCATGCTGATAACTAGAGTGTTGGCAGTTACCCTTACTACTCTCTCATAATTTGATTTCTCTTACATATTCAACTTAGTTAGCATGGCACTCTTTCTTAGTGTATAAAACCAATTTCTTCACTTGAATTTTTAATACTGTATTACACACTCTGTAGTAGTTGCCTGGAATAGCCTTTCCTTTTCTTCTTCCCAATCTTATTTTTCACTCAATTTACTTGATTTTTTAAAAATACTATTAGGTTTATTTTATGGTTTATTAAAATAAAATCCATGATTTTTCTAATGGATATAACAAACCTTTCTATACAAATAATACCTGGATAGCATTATCTATACAGAATGACTAGTTGGGATGATAGGTAAGATTCCTGCACATTGCTCCAGTTACAAAATATAAGAATTTTGATTAAATTCTTGATGTACTTCAAGTAATTCGTATAGTCTTGGTGAGTTGCTATACAGCAAAATTGATGTTTAGCAAATAAATGTGGTATGTTTCATCTTGGGATCAGATGTTTTAAATTGATAGATGAACTGCAGTTCACCTGTTAAAGTTTCCTATAGAGAAATGATTCTCAAAGTGTGACCCTCGGCCAGCAACATCAATGTTGCCTAAGAGCTTGTTAAAAGTGCAGATTCTCAGTCCCTGTCCCATACTTACTAAAGAAAAAAGAAAAAAAAAGTATATTCTTTCCCAGATCCTCCTAGTAAGAGCACAGCCCACCTAAATCTTTTTTTTTTTAATTTTATATTTGTTCTACTTAGTTGTACATGACAGCAGAATGCATTTCAATTCATTGTACACAAACAGAATGCAACATTACAATTCCCTGGTTATACACGGTGTAGAGATGCACCATTCATGCAGTCATATGTGTACCTAGGGTAATGTTGTCCATCTCATTCCACCATCTTTTCTATTCTCATAACCCCTCCCTACCTTCCCCTTTGCCTAATCCAAAGTTCGTCCATTCTTCCCATGCCCACCTCCATTATAGATTAGCATCCACTAATCAGAGAAAACATTCGGCCTTTATTTTGGGGGGATTGAAAAAGCAATCATAAAATTCATTTGGAAAAATAAGAGATCTGGAATAGCCAAAGAAATCCTTAGCAAGAAAAGTGAAGCAGGAGGCATCACAGTATTTTTGCTTAGCATAATATTATCCAACTTCATCCTTTACCTGCAAATGCCATAATTTTATTCTCTTTTAATGCTGAGTAATAGTCCATTGTGTATATATACCACAGTTTCTTTAGATGGACATCTAGGTTGGTTCCACATATTAGCTATTGTGAATTCTGATACTATAAACATTGTTGTGGCTATGTCACTATAGTATGCTGATTTTTAAGTCCTTTAGGATAGACCAAGGAGTGGGATAGCTGGGTCAAATGGTGGTTTCATTCTAAGTTTTCTGAAGCATCTCCACACTGCTTTCCAAAGTAGTTGCACCAGTTTGCAGTTCCACCAGCAATGAATGGGTGTACCGTTTCCCCCACATCCTCTCCAACACTTATTATTGCTTGTATTCTTGTTAACTGCCATTCTGACTGGGATGAG